TGGGTGGGGAGGCATTGCAGCAGCCCTGGACCATTTGACAGAAACGGTTCTGACCTTTGGGCCACTGTGTTACCAGCTAATTGAGGGACCAGAAGTCATGAAATTGCATGATTTCACTATGACCTCTTCTCCATTACATACTGAAAATCACACACATTGAATGTTAGTGGTTCCCAGGGTTCTTAAAGAATGTCTATGTCTCCAGTGAAACCCTCACTTCTCTGGGAATGAATTCCCACAGTCTCCCTTATAAGCAAGCATGGTGGATGTGTCTTTCATTTGTCTGATCAGTATCGCTTCCTTTGTCAGAATTTTGGGAAAGATCAATGTGGAAAGCAATGAGCCTCCTACCCATATTCTGGGACGGGAACAGGAATAACAGCCCATGGCAAGCTGTGGTGAAACAGCCAATCGAGTTATTGTCAGTGGTCCCCTGGGATCACGTGCCTAGTATGGAAGAAACAATGGAACCAGGGAAGAAATGGACATTATCTAGAGGTTTGGACCTGGGGAAGTGCAACTCCATTCCCTTTAGTTGCAATAACTGGAGGAGACTTTAGGTTATTTTCCCTTGTAGAGAGGGTGGGTCTCCATTGTGAAATTATATTTATGCAAAGGGTGAGAAGAAGGGGAGGAGGGTTACTATCACACTTGCTTCTTGTGGGTTATGGCCCTGCATGCCTTCTTTAAGTTGCCAGTTTTCTCCTCGTGATTTGGTGCAAGGCTTCCCATACAACCCAGCCCTGACTACAGGGGTGAATTTAGGATGAAGTTAGAGCACTCAGAGTCTTTTCCCCTAAACATTGAATCTTGTCCACAGATATACAGCGATGGTGACTGAAGTTGTGACCTTCAATGAAAATGTTTAAGAAGAAGGTCCGTGAACTCCTGCTGCTTAGAGCTCTGGAATCTGAGCAGTCCTGGACCCTTTATATTTCAAGGTGGGATGTGTTATAGGACCAACAGGTATATATGCCCACTGTGTAGTAGCATACCAATGCACTGAGACAGCAGGGAGGCAGCAGAGAAAGAGTTTAATGATTGCAAGGCTCCTAGCAAGGAGATAGAAGGAGACCCTCAAATCTATCTCCCCAAGAGTCCTGAGTTGGGGTCTTAAAGGGGATCTTGGAGGGCAAGGGGCTGGAAAATTGGGGTCATTGATTGGTCAGAGTGAGGAGGATGAAATCATCAGCATGTGGAACCTGTATTCTTTGGTGAGTCAGCTTCTTATGAGGCCCTTCTGACCTGCTGATGTCGGTGGTTTTAGTGGCATGCAGGTCGTGAAAGAATATGTCAAAGGGAAAGAAACATTTCATAAGTTTCCAGTTGTTATTTCTAGAGCAGATAAGGGAATCTATAATCTTGTAACAGGATCTAGGTGATTTTAGGACAGCAGACAAACAACTACAAGGAAGCGGGTCAGAGAGCAGGCTGACCTCATAATCAGTGCTGGACATGCTGCAAGCTTGTTTAGTCTCATTTCCCTACTTCCTTTCTCCCCTGATTACTTTAATAAAGTTTCTTGGGACAGTTTTAGATGCTCAGCTTTTCCATATGATTAGGTGAGTGATTCAGGATCCTTTCAAAGAACGCTGTGACTCAATCCTCTGCTTGAATAACATGCAAGATAATGAGACATTTACTATCGAGGACCTTCTGAGTACCTGGCACTGTGCCAGATTCTTTCAGATATATAAAATTTCACTTGCTCCTGATGATTCTGGAAAGGAATGATGGCATCTTATGAAGCTGTAGCAGATGCTGTTCTGGCCTCTCTCACGCCTGCCAGACGTGTTGGAGTGCCCCGGCTGCTGCTCTGCATGTGTAGCTGAGGTCTTGGTGGAAAAATACCAGAGAAGCTCTCTGAAGCTGGAGTGGAATAATTCTGAAGTGTATGTTCTGCCTCCTTTCCCAGTGTCTCCCCATGGGATTAAGCTCTGGTCACCTGCTGCTATTGTTGGTCTTGTGGCACACATGTGGCAAGATGTCACCCTTTCCATGGTTGCATCCACTTTCCTTGCTGTATTATTCATACTCTCTAAATTAAATACTTTCAGTGAAATCCCTGCCTTTGTGTCTGCCTCTTCGAGAAACCAGACTAAGTAAGATGGGGGCTGCTGGGATGCTTGGAAGATGCAGCTCAGGGTTGGTCCCTGGATCAATGTGAATCCACCTTCACCGTATAGATGAGAACACTGAGACACAAGGGAGGTGGGAACAACTCACCTGAGATCACTCAGTCAGTAGACACCTAGGATGCCAACTGGGGTTTACCCTTCATGGCAATGCTGATCCTTTGCCTGTCCCAAGGTGGCTTGGTCTTTGCACTGCAGACATTGTGAGCCAGGTCACTGTTTGCTGTGAGGGGCTGTCCTGTGCATTGTAGGAGGTTTCACAGCATCCTCTATTCACTAGATGCCAGGAGCACCCCCACATTGTGATAACCAAAAATGTGTCCCTCAGATTTGCTGAATGTCCCTTTGGCAGAAGGGGAGGATTCTCCTTGAGAATGACAGCCCAAAAGAGCTAGATTCCATGGGAAAAAGGGCAGTGCTCGTACTGATGGACAGAGGTGAGTGACCGCACATGAACAGCCTCCTTATTGAGCCTTTGATCCATTCTAGTATCGTCTGACTCCAAATCTGGCCCACTTTCCATTATGCAGCTTCTTGTGATCAATTGTTCCATTGCTCTACTTGTTAGAGAGAAAGTTCTTTCCTGTTGAGCCCAAATCTGCTTCCCGGTAACTGACTTAATCAGCGTGCCCTCCGGAGCTGTGCAAGAGGACTAATCCTTTTCATGGGCTGCACTTCAACTATTTGAAAACAACTTGTGTGTCCCTGCTCCGTTCCCTCTCTGCCCTGCCCCCCGCCAACCCCTTCGTGAACCTTCGAAGTCTTCCCACGGCTGCTTGTGTACTCAAAGCTTTGCTCAACAACAAATTCAGCAACTACACCACCTACTACGTGCCAGGTGCTACCACATGTCAGGAAACAATTCTCAGACAGGGAATTCAAACTTCTTGGTTCTTTCTCAAGCCTGTGAACAAGAATTGCCACAGTCTAGAGTTCATGCATGTTAAAGCTTCTGGGCGATTTGAACCATACGAAATGTTTTCTGTTTAAGATGTTCTTTCACGTCCTGCATGCTAACAAATCCACTGGCATCAGCAGGTCTGAAGGACCTCACAAGAAGCAGAGTCACCAAAGGACACAGGTTCCACATCCTGATGATTTCAACCTCCTCACCCTGACCAATCAATGACCCCAATTTTCCAGCCCCTCATCCTCCAGGACACACACACACATGCATTCATTCTACAATCCTGCCTACGTTTAAGTCCAGCATTTAAGAGCCTTTGATCTACTGTGCTCTAGCTCCAGGCAATAGAGCTCTGATATCTTAAAGCAGCTAGTAAAAGATGACTTCGAAGAAAGTGTTAAAAAGGAACTCTTAATAGGATGCTAAGTTAAAGAGGTACATGTTTCTATCCAGTCACATTTTCAGTAAAATAGCTTTTAAAAAGCCTAGAAGTGGATAAAAAAAAATGTTATTGAGGTTTCTTTCTCTAGAGAGTAGAATTTTAAAAAATTAAATATTTTCCTTTGTCCTTTGCTTTATTTTAAAGCTTGTAGAACGATTGCAAATGCGTGTCTGTGTGTATATATGTATATAAACATATACACATATATATATTCACGTACATTGCAATTAGTTTTTAAAAGTTTTTTGTAAAATGGTACTGATGAGCATCTTTTTGCTATTTCTCATAGGGACTGATGGTACCTGGAAGAAATAAGGGATAGAGATGCAGAATGCAATCACGGAACTGGATGCATTTGGGGAATAAGAAAGCACTGGAACGACAGAGCTGGAACAAATGCCGGCTCATCCCCGTCACTAAAGAATGCAGGAAATGATTTACATGGGACTGCAGCTCATCTAGATGAACATCCTGAGTGAAAAGAAACTGACATAGAGAACACAAAATAGTGACATCAGAGAAAGGAGCACCAAGGGTGGGTAAAAAAACAAAAATGGGCTTTTACAGCTACTGAAGTTAAAACACCATTCGTCCAACTCCCTGGTTAAATTAGCCTACCACAAATGATGCTTTCATTCCCATTCGTCTGCAGCTTTACTTTACATGACCTATATTCTATTTTAAGGGTTTCTGAGCTTCACAAATGAGCACATGACATGATTTTCCTCTTTCCCTTTAAACTGTCCCTTTTTTAATTAAACAAATCACAATGGCTTACTTTTTTTTGGAAGAGCTTTTCTGATTTCCTTTTCGCTCTGCTCCATCTAAATCTCCCAGATTCAACTTGAAGCCTTTGACTCCTGTCCCTTCTCATGGATAGACGTTCTCCTTTCTTCCTCCCAGAAGCGTTCCCTTCCTCTTCATACATCCTCGTGTTCTTTCTGGCTGCCAGGATATGGTTCCTAGGCAGAGGCTGGGCACGTCCTCCCTGTGGCTACCGGAGTTTGGCAAATGAGCACAAAATTTGCAGGTCTGTGCAAGTGCCCACACCCACTTCTTTTAACAGTGAACTGGAAGTCTAACGTTTCCAGCCATATCACACCAGCTGGATGCCACGGGGCAGCCTCTGCTCTACTGGAGTAATATTCCTGTATCTTTTGAGGGAAGTTCCATTTAATGTTGCTAGGACTGTGTATACGTGCCTGTGTATGAGAGAGAGAGAAAGAAAGAGAGAGAATTCTAGCAAAGTAATGTGTCTGTGAGGACTGGTAGATAATGCTACCCTAAATAACTTGGACTTCCACTGGCTGGCTTTTGTTCATAAAATGCTAATCCTTTCAGGTGTAGGCCTATATAAAACACTGGGGATTAAAGGGTGCACAGAACCCTCAAATCTCGTCTGCTGCATAAGGTAAAGCTATGTTTAAACTAACAGTTCAAAATGATTTTGGGCATACTAACAAGGAGTCATTTCCAATTCTTTATTAAATACAAATGTGATGTAGATCAGAGATGTGCAGTAATAACAGTCGGTCAGTAGATTACAGCAGTTCTTTTCTAGATTGCTTTTCAATGCACAGCTGTCTTCGGGAAAAATTAATTTATCCTGTCTACAATCATGGGGAGGTTATAATTTCATTTCACAAGGAAAACTGTCACTGGCATCTGACTGAAAATGGTTCTTTTCTTGCATGAGAAATGAAGATGTCTTAGATGTAAGGTGCAGGGTCCATGGTGTCAGGTTGAAATTTGGTATACAATGTCACACTATGAGTCTCCTCTGTAGCGGTGGAGACAATAACAGCAGTTGATATTGTATGTGCAGGAGGCTTTGCACGGGCTTAATTCCCACAACCATAGTATGAACCAGCGTCGCCATCGTTTGCATTATTTACAAGGATTGTACATGGCACAGCCAAGAGTCAAAGGCAGGCAGGTTTCTCACCACAGTGCTAAGACGTCAACACTGCGGACCCTCCAGGTACTTTCTAACCACCAGTCTGCTGTTTTCTAGGGGAGCAATTAACTTCCTGGAGTTATGGGAAAGCTGGAAAGAAGGAGCAAGTGAGCATCTGCAAGAGAAACAGATTCTCCTGTGAAGCACAGCCTGGTAGAGCATTCTTGGCTGGCTTGGTGAGCTGGAAAATTGGGGTGAAAAGTTGATTGTTTGTAAAACTGTACTGATAACCATCTTTGAAATGTACATTACTTCCACCACAGTCACATTTCTTTGAAAGCTGTGTAGACATGTGTGGGGCATGCAGCCTCCCAGGTGTAGATGGAATTACCCACACAGTGGGGGCCTGGTGTGCTTTCTTGTGCTTTGTTCCCTGAGGGCAATTTCGAGCCTGAATTTATCTCATCTGAGACAGGTGTCACGTCAGTGTCTACTTCATAGGGTTCTTGTGAGGATTCAGTGAATATACACCAAGCCCTTCAAGAACTACGTGCAGCAACAATGTGGGAATTCCTCCAGCAATGTCAGGCATTGTTATTTTGGGACCAATCAATGATCCCAGTAGCTAGGTCTCTTGTTCTGTGCCAGGTACCATTTCCTGCACTTCACTCATCACGTTCGCTCTTCCGAGTCTCACGACGGCCTTAGGAGTTAGGCAAATATTATGATCACTTTTTCACTGATGACAGAATAGTCCCTGAGAGGACTGAGTGAGTTGCCCAGTTTTAGGGCGGGAGCCAAATCGAGCTCCTGGCCCCAGCCCCAGTGCTTTCCACTGTCTTGCAACGGAGCCCCAGAGGAAAGCAGAGCAGCCTTGTGTTTGCTCTGAAATCTGGCTTCTCATCCATGATGTCATTAACCCCAGAATCCACATGTACCCCCAGTGGCATGCGAGTCTGGACAGATTTCACGATTCAGTTCAAAAGTTATTAGAGACACAGTTTCGAGTCCCAGAACCTAGTGATGAGCTACAATGTTTGGAGTGGGGAGGAGGATGGCAAAGAAGAACTTTTCAAATGACAAAAACTTGCTCTAGGCCCCTGAGCAGCAAAAAAAACCGGTTTCCAGGTCACAGCTGCTGTTTCTGCATTTCTTCACGCACATGGGTTCAGCAATGCTTCTTGGTTTCCCTGTATCTTGCTCTGGGAAGCCAGGATGACAGCTCCTTGGGTGGCTGCTTTGCTCACTCAGGGAACTAAGCTGAAAAGCAGGCGTTCTTTTCAGCTCAGATAAGCTACACCTTTCGGAGCCCTCGGGGAATGTCTTGGGCTGAGCGCCTCGGGCCTTGTCCAGTTCTTTCCTCTCAGCAGGCTCCGGCTATGGACATGTGTCTGAGCTCCGTGCAGCAGCCTGGGCGCCAGGGGGAAGAACCGAGCTCGCCGGGTGGCTGGTTAGAGGCCGAGAAGAAGGGGGTTCTGCAGAAAGACAGCACCGGGGGACCCCTAGAAGGTAACCTCCTTCTTAGCACTTCAACAATGTTCCTCAGTTGCTTTCCTGGCAATGACGTTCTCGAGTAAATTTCAGTGACAAGAATTTCCATTTCCTTTTACCACTAGATTTTTTACTATAATGAAGCTTAGTGGAAAAATGGTGTTTTGCAAGCATAAACATAGCATTAAAAGTAATTCCTGTTTTTTCATGATTCACTTATCAAAGTTCACACATTTGTTTTTATCGTATGTATAGATCTAAGATTGCTATATTTTTGTAACAAGAACTTAGAAGAAAAAAAATCTAGATTTGTTTCTGTTTTTCACCAAAATGCATTCTTGGCAGCTTTGTCATACAGTGAATCTTTATAAATCAAATAGTATTTTCCCATTAGGACAATATAACAGTTTAGGGTTACATTTCTGGGCATGGATTCAGTTGTAAATAAATGACAGACATAACAAATGATCTCATAAAAGCCAAGATGCAGCATTTAGAGTGTTTAAAATTAAAAGTGGTAAAAAAATATATCCCAACGCTAATAAATGAGAATCGTGTCTATTTTTACTGAATTGTTTACACAAAAATGCAACACTACCTTATCTGAACTTCTGATTTCTATAAAACTATCAGAAGAGTACAGCTGGAATAAATAAAAATGTTTAAGGCGTGATAAACATTCATTTGTTTATCTTTGTAGAACCTCACAGGGTCTTATAGAAGATGTGTACACCTATGTTTCTTTACAAGGTTGATTGGAAAAGTGTAGCTGTCAAGCTTAATTGTCAGTTTATTTACCTCTGAAATGATGAGCCATTCAAAATCAGCCCCCTACTTACTCCTCCTAGTCTCTAGGGAAAAATAAGTCCCCAGATGGTGATATGTGGGAGGAGGGACAGGCATGGCTTGGATGAGAGTGGGGCAGGGCAGGGAAGCTGGCAGGGGCTGGTATGGGTCCCTGAGGCTCTGAGCCACCACCCAGTGGTGTGCCGGAGATGGCTTGTATCAGCACCTGAATTTCAGCAACTTTTCTAGCTGGTTGTTAAATATGACCATCAGTCAATTTAAGTTAGAATCTTATGATTAAATAGATTATATCAAAGACAAAGGCATATTAAAAGCAAAGGTGATAAATACTCAAAACTCACCATCAATTATTTTACTACATCTTCCTAATATCTGTGCTCTCGAGATTAATCATGTATATGGTGTCTGTACGGTAGGAACCCTACACAGTGGCGAGGTACTGCATGTCTTTCCCCAGTGATGTCACGATGCTCCTCTGAAATCGGCTGGGGTGGGGGTATTTACTCCAGAGCAATCATCAAACCCTGTCAATCAACGCTTCTTCCCCTCCGGCTGACCTGGTTAGTAAACATTAATCAGCCTATACTTTTCTGCCTTCTTCCTGCCTCTAAGCCAGAATTCAGGGTCATCTTCTCAGCCATGTGGTAGGAGCTACGGTTCTGTTAAATATCAGTGGCTTCCCAAAAAAGGTGGGGAAAGCTACAGGGCTCCCTCCTTACCCTACAATCTCCCTACAACCTCCTACCCAGGCAGGTGACAGAAAAGTCTCAGGACTGAATTGGCTACCTTTTATAGCGGGATCTGGCAAGTTCACTGAGGTCCCAGGTTTCTGGAAGCTCACCTTTTGGTCAGGGCAGAGAATTCTCCTTCGAAGTGGTAGGACATACTAAATCAATGTCACAGCCAAAAACAACACTCCGAAGAGCGGAAGGCACCCGTGATGCTCATTTACAAATGAGTCACTTCATTTATATATTTTTTAGTGTGCTGCACACTCATACTTTTGTAATATAAAACAAAAATGAATTTCTAGGGAAACTAAATGAAAATATATACAAACATATAAAATACAAGCTCCAGGTTTTGTTCTTAATTAGATTCCACAGACATTGTCAGATGGTTGTGACTATTTCTAAAGGCTCCCTCCAAATTCCTCTACTTACTGTGGAGCTGTCAGCAGCCTTTGCAGAGTGGTGGCAAGGAACCGTTCCAGTGTGTACGGGATGAGTGAGACTTCAAACACCTGGGGGGCCCGCCCCCCACCTGGGGAACACCCTGCCGACCGCGTTTCTTCCAGGGCTCACTTCCCTTCGCCTCTCATTCACCTCCTCCTGCCTTCCACCTGGAGTGTCTATTTCAGATGAAAACACTTCCAATGTTCGCTGGCTGCCCCTTCCAGATTTGTTCAAAGCTCATATTTTACCCCCAGTTAAAAATTTTCTGGGATAATTTCCCAGTCATATCCCAGGCCACAAAGGCAGGTTTCATGCAAGCAAAAGTGACCTTCTTCCCTGCCCCCCCGCCACCCCGCTCCCGACAGTCTCCACACTGTTAATTCTTTCCCACCGCTGGGATCAACACCTTCTCCTCTGCTCCTGATCCTTCTTCCCCACACTTTGACTCACTGCTCTTTTTATTCCAACACTCTGGGAAACCTGCAAACACTTGTGATCCCATGTCAGCCTGATCAGGTGCTCTTTTCCTCTCATTTTATAATGCCATTTGAGAGCTACTAGTGTGTGTCATGGGTTTAAAGGAGTATTTAAAGCAATAGTAACTTAATAGCCAGAGCTCAGCAGCCAACCTCCCCCAGGGCTGTGGGGCTGGCTGGGCTTGGGTGGACTCTACCTTTTGAGCAGCAATTGCAGGAAAGGTTGAAGGAACAGGCTCCAGCCAACATGTGGGAATGTTACCTCACTTCAAGACCTAAAAATAGGCAGGTCTGTCTGGGTGCAGTGGCTTACGCCTGTAATCCCAGCACTTTGGGAGGCTGAGGCAGGTGGATCACATGGTCAGGTGTTCAAGACCAGCCTGGTCAACATGGTGAAACCCTGTCTCTACTAAAAATACAAAAATTAGCCAGGTGTGGTGGTGGTGCATGCCTGTAATCCCAGCTACACAGGAGGCTGAGGCAGGAGAATTGCTTGACCCCAGGAGGTGGAGGTTGCAGTGAGCTGAGATTGCGCCATTGCACTCCAGCCTGGGTGACAGAGCAAGACTCCGACTATAAATAAATAAATAAAGGCAAGTCTGTGTTTACCTAGTTCCTCTGTATCCAGCTCATTTGTGCCATTTTGCTGGTAAGTTTGTCCTTTTTCTATCAGAAAAACATAGGTTGGGAGCGAATCCATACCTCTTCTGTCCTCCCCTAAATAAGGAAAAGGCCCAGAGCATCCTTTGGCATTTTGCCATCCTATAAAAATGTCACATTCAAATTTCATGTCCCCATCACCTCATAAAATTCAATTTTATGCCAGTTTACAGCCATTCTCCATCGTAGCATTATCCTCTCTGTTTATAGGAAGATCGCTGAATCTAATGCCGTCTTAGCAATTGCACGAAGTGTGTCTTTGCACTGGATTTTAACAAATTATAAACCCCATTTTATTTTTCTGCTTCACAGATTCCAGCAAGATAGAACAATCTCTTCATAGCCTCCAGAAATTTGTTCCTACAGATTACGCCAGCTACACGCAGGAGCATTATCGGTTTGCAGGAAAGGAGATTGTCATCCAGGAATCCATAGAGAGTTACGGAGCGGTGGTGTGGCCAGGGGTGAGAGAACTGTCACGTTTGTGATGTCAGGATTTCTGGAGATCACAACTGCGTGCTTCCGAGTTGCCTTGGACAATATGTCAAGTTCCTTCATATCCTGTGTCTCTCAATTTGAGGTTCAGTTGCTCACGCCCTGGGGGGTGTTGGTGGTGTGCTTGGGATCAGCAAAAACAGTATTTCTTTCAGAAGCACTGGTTTTGCCTTAAGCTCTGTTTCTTAAAATATTATTTTTATATCAAACAAACTTACCAAAATGAGGAAGTGAATGCAAAATTTATATAAACGGTTAAGAAAAAACCTGGGAGTTTAGAGTTTAGACTTTGCAGTGGGCATCTCCAAGCCACTCCCACCGACCCTCAGCCATTCATCTTTTTTTTTTGGAAGACAGAGTCTTGCTCTGTCACCCAGGCTGGAGTGCAGTCACATCATATTGGCTCACTGCAACCTCCACCTCCTTGGTTTAAGCGATTCTTCTGCCTCAGCCTCCCAAGTAGCCAGGACTACAGGTACCTGCCACCATGCCTGTATTTTCAGTAGAGACAGAGACCAGATTAACCAGGCTGGTCTCGAACTCCTGACCTTAAGTGATTCCCCCCTCCTTGGCCTCCCAAAATGCTGGGATTACAAGCATGAGCCACCGCACCCGGCCAGCCATTCTTCTCTTTTCCACCTGGGCTGTGTTGGTAGGGACGTTTAGGAGGCATGACTTCCTGACATGTCACTGCTGCCACAGCCTTGAGAGCATGGTGTTGAAATGGGGGCAATCTTCCGGATTTTGAGTCAGAAAAGCTTTCATTTCCAGCCTGGTTGGTCACAAACGTTCACCTCACCTCCAATTGCCTTCATTACCATTTTTAAAACTAGGGTAGTGGTAATGCCTACAGCACTCCTGACGTGATTCTCAGAATTGCAAGAATTTCAGGTTGTGAGATTAAATGTAGGCCTAGTGTAAGCTCACATGAGCTGTTGTCATTAATGTAATATTCTTTCTTTCCACCTTTCAGTTGAGGAAATGGGGACGCAGGCCAGTCCACAGGTGTGGTAAAGCTCCTGACTGGGGTGCAGGGCAGAGCCAAGCTGGGCAGTGGCCCTTGGAGCCAGCGCCGTCACTTTTCCCACTGCAGACATTGTTAATGCTTAGAGAGGCTCCAGACCAGAACTTCTCAATCTGCAGTCTTGTTAAAATGCAGATTCTGATTCAGGAGGTCTGGGGTGGGGCGCATTTCTTACACGTTCCCAGGTGATGTGCATCTGCTGGGCCATGGCCCCCACATTGAGTAGTCCTGGTTAGCGGTTCCATGGGGCTCCCTCAGGAACCCTGTGGATGACACAGGATGAGGAGAAGGGTAGCGGAAGGGCTCCAGGCTCTTAGGGGGTCCACCTTCACCCACTCTCAAACAGGAAGCTCTATTTTTACACCTTATGCATATAATTTCCTTCAGCCAAAGACTTTTCTTTGCCTTGACAAGTTTGAAAATCACCAAACAACTCACAGCTTTCTATTATAATACACTTGGCAAATAGACAACAGCAGTGGTGTAGTGACAAAGGGGTGTAGTAAGAGATCAGAGGCTGGGCGTGTGGCTTACACCTGTCATCCCTGCCCTTTGTGAGGCTGAGGCAAGAGGACCGCTTGAGCTCAGAAGTTTGAGACCAGTCTGGGCAGCACAGTGAGATCCCCATCTCTCTTAAAAAAAAAAAAACACACACACACACACACACAATTAAAAAGAGACCAGAAATTGAAAAAAGCGTATTTTCCCACTGACTGTTTCATTCTCAACAAGGCATGATTCATGCACCAAACACCAGCCTCTCATGAAAGCTGTTTCCTGAAAGCCACACAAGGTTATCTAAAGTGAGACAGTGCCCTTTCCATGTGACTTCAGGTGCAGCTCTGTGAAAAGATCCCTTCAGAGTTTGCTAACAGGACTAGGGGCTGCGGGGAATGTTTGCGATGTCAAAAGACATGGCTGTCCCCAAGAAAAGCTTTGTCTCCAGATGACACCCCTGGGGCCAGCCCCTCCCAGAGCAGGGCACCAGGAAGGAGGCTTGCGGCCATCTGCAGGAAGTTCCTCGGAGCTGCCCTCTAGATGGCGCTAGGTAGCACTCTCTTCCTGATATTGACTCCTTTTCCCACAGCAAATACTTACCTTCTCTCCGTAAGGACCAAAGAACTCTTTTCTCCAAAACTTCTCTTCTCAACTCTGGAGCTCCTTGCAGCGTGCTGCAGTTGCTACAGGAAGTTGGCCCCGACTCCTCGGCAGCTCTGTGGAGACCCCTCTCCCCTCACCCTGCTGTATGCCTCCTCTCCAGCACTTACCTGCCCGGAATGCAGTCTGTATTTGGCTTACCTGGCCCCCCAGCCCCACCCCTGAGTTCCCAGACAGTCGAGGTGACTGTGTCATATTCATCTTTGCCTGTGGAAGTTCAGTATGAACAGATGAGGATGAAATGGAGTGTCTTACAGGGTCAAGTTGGCAACTAAACCTACCGTTGGTAATCCTAAGAGTGGCACATCTCCAATCATCCTGGCTGCCCCCACTCCAAACTGGGCCCCAAATAGAAAGTAGAGTCCAGAGGAAGATGGGGCATACCTTTAGCTAGGGCCTAAATGTATAAGTAAATGATATAGTTCATTGTTTTTTTAAATCACAGTGTTCACATTCCTGATTCTAGGCTATTCATACCCAAATTTAAGTAACTTTGTCATCTTCTTCTCATAACTCTTCCTAATCTCTCAAATCCAGGGCACTGCTAGTTGATGCCTCATTGCCATAAATGTAAACATTCATCCATCAATGCAAATCAAATACTCTTTACTCTTTGTAGAAGAGTTAGGGGAAGGTGGAAGCAGAAGGGAAGGAATAAAGAAGAAAGGGATGTTTGATTTCCTGTATAAAAAACTAACAAGAGTTTTCATATATAAAACATTTTTAAAAATCTCCTTGCTACTACTCAAAGTGCAGTCCGTGGGCCAGCAGAGGAGCACCATGTCAGGGCGTGTTCAGATGTGCAGCATCTTGAGCCCCATTCTCAACCTAATGAATGAGGATCTGCATCTGTAACGAGCTACCCAAGGGATTTGTTTGCACGCTCGAGTCCGAGAAGCAGTTTCTCAACAGTCTGTTTCTTAGATGAACCACTTAAAAAGTCACTGCCCCGTTGCTCTAGACGCCAATGCATTAGCCAACCTGAATTTTGGTAAAGGAGTCGAGAGAGATGTTCAAGTTTATAAAACGACATTAAAAAATTAGTTATATAATTTTAAAAACTCTTACAAGAAAGAATTCTAATATAAAACAACATTCTTGAAGGAGTTGGAGACCCAACATGATTAAACCAGAGGAAGAAATCGGTTTCTTTAGCCCCACACTGTCCTGATTGGAAGGAGCTACGCTGATCTGCTGTTCTTCCTATTCTTTGGGGATTGAGCAAATTTAACAAATCTGCTTCCCCAGTTCCTTAGATGCAATTTACAACAACTTCTTCATTTCAGAGGTCTAACTATGGCATCGAGCGTACATTTGGGTTCTTATGAATATAAATGAAACATATTTAATAACTTGTCTTTTAGTATTTAAATATGAGTGCCAGAAAGGGTTGCTACTGGTTTCCAATGTTCCAATGCCCACATAAAGAGTTATAATTATTTCTTTTAGGCTACAGCTTTGTGTCAATATTTGGAGGAACATGCTGAGGAACTGAATTTCCAAGACGCAAAAATACTTGAAATTGGTGCTGGACCAGGCCTTGTTTCCACTGTGGCCAGTATTTTAGGTTTGTTTGTTTATTCCTGACTAGTGTCCAGAACTTTACTGTAACCGCTATATGACAGGCTGTGGTTTAGGTGCCTGGCCCTGACTTCACTCAGTGAATCTTCCCCAAATGCCATGTGGCGGGAATTACTATTATCCACAGAGATTATCAAGTCTCCGGGAGGTTAATCTCTAATCAACCAGTTTCCATGGGACGAAGCTGAGTCCAGAGGCATGACTCTGAATCTCTGTTGTCAAGCCCGGGGGTGGGCGAGGTGGGGGAGCTACTGACATTAGGTGGTTGGAGGCCAGGAAGGCTGCTCACTGTCTTACAGTACACAGGGCAAGACTGCTCACAAGAAAGTTTAGCCAGCCCACATTGAGTCACACGTGTTCAGCACACCCAATAGAGCCAAGGCTAAGGAATCCAGTTGTTTCTTGTGTTTTTCCCTGGGTATATGTACACTGTGGCTGCCCAACTGTTTCCAGATCATTATTGCAATTTTTCTTTTCCTCTTAGGAGCTCAAGTCACAGCAACGGATTTGCCTGATGTCCTGGGAAACCTTCAATACAATCTTCTAAAAAACACCCTACAATGTACAGCACATCTGCCTGAAGTGAAAGAACTGGTATGGGGTGAAGACCTAGAAAAAAACTTTCCCAAGTCAGCTTTTTACTATGATTACATCCTAGCCTCGGATGTGGTCTACCATCACTACTTCCTGGACAAGCTGCTCACCACCATGGTGTACCTTTCCCAGCCAGGGACGGTGCTGCTTTGGGCAAACAAGTTCAGATTCAGCACCGACTATGAATTTTTAGATAAATTCAAGCAAGTTTTTGACACAACACTGTTGGCTGAATATCCAGAGTCATCAGTCAAACTTTTTAAGGGGATACTAAAATGGGACTAAATCCAATCTTTTGAGTAATGTGGCAGATACTGCTTTGGGAATAAAGACTTCTTTTATAGGATTGAGAAGGTAATACAGAGAAACAACTTGTATACTTAGAACAAATGTAACAGTACTGCAGAAACTTTCTCAAGTAACTTATTTAATAGGATCTGGTTAATCTAAATATCTAGAAAGAATACCATAAAAATATGAAAGCAGCTTTGTTGGTTCCAAAGTCTTGGTTACATCTTTAATAAATCTTACATGGATAAATTACTAAGTAAATTTCTTCCCTATTTCTGCTATAGCACATTTTTAAACTTCTCAATGTATTGTCACATGCTTTTTGAAACTGGGCCTGACAGGGTCACTATATTTAAGTTTTTAGAATCTATTTTTACAGATTTAACTGCAGCAAAAAAAAAAAAAAAGGATATTGAGTGATAGAAAAGTTAATAGGCTTAAAAGTAAAAAGTAAAACTGCTAAAATGAGAAAATGGATGTTGTTTTAGGAACTTCTTAAGATAATTTACAAATACTCTCCCTCTGTGTCAATTATCTTTAATAATTTCTAGTTAATTTCCGTATTGTCTGCTTTTTTTTAACAATAAATATTTTAGGCTCTCCAGGGCATAGGTCACATACTGTTCTACATCAAATTCTTTTTCTTTTTTTTACAACCATTTATGAAAAGGTAAGAACGTTTTTAGCCTGTTAGATTTGCCTCACAGCACATGGTTTGCCAGCCTCTGGGACTGCCGGCAATCCACAGTGATACTGGAATATGTAAGCATTTAGCAAAGTGGCCAAATATCAGTATTGAAAGCTCAATTTTATTTGTAAATTCCACCTACAAATAGAAATGAAATTTAAATAGATACCACTTACAACTGTAATATTGAATACTTAGGAATAAATCTAACAAAGCAAGAAGTTCATGCAAATGTATCTAGCATTATTGAGGCAAATTAAAACTAACATTAGGAGACATTGTAAATATGTCAGTTTTCTCCAAATTGATCAACAGCTTATGTGAAATCATTGTAAAAATCCCAATATTCTTTCCTGTGGAATTTGTCAAGCTAATTCTAGAATCATGTGAAAATAAAAAGGTCAAGAAGAACCAAGACACTCCTCAAGAGCCTGGTGGGAAGATCTGATTCTCAAGAAGTAGTACTTTGAAGAGGCAATAACTGAGACAGCAATTAGTATGATTTACTAATGTTCATACATATTGGTATTTCTTAGTGATCTTTAAATCTGCCTGTAAAACAAGAAGTACCTATAAGTTTAAGGAACAAATGGATATTCTAGCCATAATTCCAAATATTTGTCTCTATTTTCTCCATCATTGATATTGCCTACTGAGAATATGAGTCATTAGTCTCTAAGGTAAATTTGGTGATTCATGTTTTTGAATACTCTTCAATTCCTCTGGATGGTGATTCTCTCTCTCTCTCTTTCTACACACACACACACACACACACTAGAATGGCCAAAGATAAGAAGGTGGTATCATCAAGTGTTGCTGAGGATGTGCAATGCTTACAGCTCTCACATACTGCTAGTGGGAATGTCACATGGTAGACATTTTGAAAATGGTCTCCTAGTTTCTTACAATGTAAAAAGAAATATACCATTTCTCAGCAATTTCATTCCTAGATATCTACCCTACAATACTTTAAAAGATATGTCCACACAAAGACTTGTAAACAAACATTCACAGCAGTACAGCAGCATTATTCATAGTAGCCTCAAATATAAACAATCCAAACATCCAACAATGGTGAATGAACAAAATGTGGTACATCTCACAATGCAGTATATGCGGCAGCAACAGAGCAGGAGCAAATACACCTAAAGTGGCTGAAACTTAAGAACATTACGCTAAGTGAAAGAAACAAAAAATTACAAATTGTATGATTCCGTGCATATCAAATTTCTAGAAAAACTACAGAATTGGAAAGCAGATCACTGGCTGTCTGGGGCTAGGGGTGGGGATGTAGACTGGCTACAAATGAGCTTGAGGGAGTTCTTCCAGATGATTGGCATGTGCTAAATACCCAGATTGTGCTGATGGCTGCATTCTAGACATTAGACTGCACAGTTGAAATGGTTAAACTCTATATGTACATTACACTTCAATAAAGCTGTTAAACCCCATGGTTTGTCCCAAATGTTATGCAAATTTTCTTTCAACTCCTCCACCTTTCAAATACACGATGCAGAGGAATCTATTAAGAAAATTACAGCAATGAAACTCAATCCCTTAAATCTCTGCTCAGACTTTTCACATTTCCAGGGCAAAGAAATATGATCTTATGCTTATTTTGTAAATGAAGTGTCCTTTTAGAATGGCTGAATTGATGTTCTTTTTCTTTACACTATTCCATCAATTTTTAAATAGAGGAAAGTAGGCTAATTGTGCATTTTAAATATGTGCAGTTTATTATATGGCAACTATAGGCCAATATTCTGCTAAATAAGTACATTTCAACTTATGGAAAATCATGCTTAATATAAACCATTCCTTTCTCTGTTCCCCTATTAATTTGAATCAGATAAATCATTCCTTCTGTAAATTCAGCTTGTAGCTATACAAGATACATAACCATATCACATCTAAAATATTTTATATTAAATATTAAGTAATATATTAAAATATGCAGTGTTCAAATGTTCAATTGTCTCAAAGTGTTACATTTATTTTTAGTTTCAATGGGATTAACTAGTATGTCTCTGAAATCTGATCCTCCCTTCCTCTTAGTTTTGTGTAGAATTTCATACTACTGCATTATGCAGACTGCATTGTTAGTGTCCTTTAACTTGTTCCTCTAGCCTCTGTTGTTTCTGTAAATTGTACATGTTAATGACTCAGGCTTGGAACCATCTAGCCCAAGCCCAGTTTAGATCTGCCAAATTCCAGGCATATGACTTACTAGTGAAAATAAATTATTGTAGACAGCTGAGTTCTGAGGTGGCTTAAAATCACACATAAAATGAAATTACAAAATATATTTTTAGTTGCTTTTTCTTCTATTCGCATTTTGGGTAAGACGTGGCTGATTCTAGAGTGAATCTGGTTCACGTGACTGGGTATGCAGGCAGCCCCAGCTGCACAGTGAAAACCTGACCCTTGGCACCGACACTGGAACTGTAGGTCTATATGTTTGTCCCTTGAGAGGACTCAGCTTGAATTCACTGTTGTTTGAAATCCTCTCACAAAGCAGGGGTTTTAAATGAAACTAAAGCAGTACATTTGCAGAACTGAGTGCAGAGGCATTTTGTAGCAAAGTGCTGGCAGGTACTGCACCATCACATCCTGACCCGGCTCTCTCAGGGTATCAGGAGGGCAGGTGGAGATTCTGCTGATGGGATGGATGTCCAAGAACCCTTCATGTGAGAGCAGCACTTACATCTTTCTATTGTAATTTCCAGGATTTTACTTGGTCGGCTTCTCTTTTCAGTTTACCGCCCATGACTACGGATACATTTTTCTCCCCTTGGTTTACTATGTTCACTCAGACTCATGAAGTTCAGTTTCTCACTTTATTCCTCAAAAACTTTTCTCCATTCAAGGTTTCCTCCCCTCCCACTTTAGGGGAGATGGCAAGGATACCTCTTATTTATCTTCCTATGCAGACTTCTCTGATTTAAATCCTACAAGGAAAGACAAAGACTCATGTATTCTGAATGCTGGGTTGTTGGGAGGACAGATAAGGAAACAGTGGAGGAAAAGACTCAGTTAATTCAAATGAAATAATTTTTTAGTTGTAACAGACACATTGAATCAACACTGTAATTTTCTTAAGGAGATTCATGGAGGTCAAGTGATTTGGCTTGTCAGAATAGACCCAGGCTGCAGCTTCTAGTCATCCAGCCCCTGCACATTTCATTAGGGCTGGGGGTAGAGGGAGAAAGGGTTTGAGATTTGTGGTGCCTAAGAAGAGGAGCAGGAGGGCTCTTCTGGGGTAAAGAGAAGTTCTCCCAGGAAGCAGGCTAACATGAGGAAGGAAAGAAATCCCATGAGATGGGACCTGCTTCTTATCATTGGAAAGGGGCCACAGAACTAATATTGGGCACATGCTCTGTACTGTCTCTAATATTTCTTTAAAAAGTTATTTTTACCTAGTTTTTTTTCGGTTGTTTTCAGTGGGTGTGCAAAACATTGGCTACTGTGATCAGAAACAGGAAAACTACTTGACTTTTTAAAGTACCATCTTATTGCTTGTGTTATTTTGAATGTAATCACATAGAAGCAGTAATGATTTTACTGAGGACATCTAGAACTTACTTGGGTCCACTTTCACCACAGAAATGCAGAATGATCCAGACAGGAAGCAGAAGCTAACATGGCAGCTTTGTGTAACTGCCTTCAGTTACAGGAGTCATAAATAAATAGGCATGGCTCTGTGCCAATAAAACTTTATTTACAAAAGCAGGCAGCAGTCCAGTTTGGGTTAAAGGGCCAAACGTTACTGATTCCTGCTATATGTAGTACTTACTTGAAATAGCAAAACCTGGGTATAAAACAAGGTCTGTAATTAATTACCAATCAGTCAATCAGCAGTATAACCTTGGGAAGTCATCCTACCTTTACTGAGCTTCTCCATTCTCTTACTGGACTAAATCTATACAAATGGGGATCTGTATGTTTGTATAGGTGAAAGTCCATGAATGCATGAGACAGAACATGCATGTAGCTGTTCATGGATAGAATTTGGACCCTAGATATCCCAGAAGTTGGGTACAATATGCTTATACATGTATTTATTTTTCTCATAAAGGCTCTAACAATTTCATGAGATAAAGCAAAAACAGTTATGAATGACTAGACAGGGTTACTGGTAGGCCTTTTGCAGGGGTAAATTTTAAAAGAACAAGATTAAAAAATCACACACACACACACACACACACACAAAATTTGCCATTAGGTAAGGGATTATAACCTTTTTAGTACTACTTGTGTCTGTTTATTCGGTGGAAGAATGATGAGATGCATGTGTAGTAGCCAAAGATAGAAATAATAAAAAGTTAGATGTACACAAAAGTTAATCACACACAATAACAATTGGAAATATATTGAAATAACTGTAAGCCTATAAGAAACACTGTAAAATAGATTACCTTATATTTAACATTTTTTGTCTATGTATTTAATGTATTATTTCTGGTATAACTCCAAATTTTATTTATGAAAAATTAAGGCCAACTTTAAGAAGCTTCAATATTCACTTTTATTATTTGTAAAAAAAAAAAAAAAAAAATTAAGG